CCCTCCCTGCCCCGCCCCTGCCCATCTAGACCACGCCCATCCCCGCCCTGGTCACTCCCCCATCCCGCCCACACCTTGCAGGCCACGCCCAACCCGCCTAGGTCTTTCCTGATCACGCCCCCGCCCCCGCCCGCGCGGCTCCACCCCTCCCCTGCAGAGAGCACACTGCCGCAGGAGGGAAGCGGGGCGCCGCCTAGAGGGACTCAGCCTCTGCTCCCCTTCCTCACCCCCACAGGCAAGAGGTGCCGCTGCAAGTTCAACCAACAGCAGAGGTAAGAGGCCCCTCCCCGTCCTCGTCCGCCTACTCCAGGCTCTAGAGGGGCACGAGGGGAGAGGCGGAAAGTCCTCCCAACCTGTTTCTGTGAGCACGTCATAAGCACCTACTATGCGCTAGGCTCCAGGTCAGGTCCTGGGATCGAGCGATGAAATCACCTCCCGCCTTGCCTGGCCGAGGTCCCATCCCAGTGGGGGCGGTGGCCGTGGGTTCCGACCGTCACACAGATGTAAAATCACAAAGCGCGACAGCACAGAAAGTGCAGGGAAAGAGCAAGCCGCGGTGAAATGAGATCACCTCACACGTGGCCCAGTTTAGCGCACAGTCCTCTTCCTAGCGCTGCTTTGGTTCATCTTTAAATAAAAATGTAAAGCTCAAGCAAGGTGTGAATACCTTCGCCTGTTAAAACGATGATAAACGTCGTTGCAGTAGCTAATGTGCTCTGTGTGTGACTGTGCGCCACTGTTCCTTGCCTGTTTTGTTTACCTCTCACACTGTCTCTAAGAGGTAAGTGTCGCCGTCGTCAGCCCCACTCTACAGATGGGGAAACCGAGGCACAGGGAGATAAAGTCACTTAAGATCACTCGATCACTCTGTCACTGGGAGGTGAGCCTTGGGGTTCCACTCCATGCCGTCTCCTGGCACGCTATCGAGGCCCCTGACGCTCTCCCCAGTCCCTCCCCGGCGTCCTCGGAGGTCCTCACCAACCCTGCTCGGACACTCCTCATTTCGGGCGCCCCCAGCCTGCTCCTCGGCGGATCTGGGCTTCGGACACGGTGTGGGAAGAGAGGACCGCAACGAGGCAGTGCGGCTTCCTGGAAGCGGCTGCTTCTCCCTTCCCATCCCGAATTTCCTCTGCCTCTCTCTTCCCAGAACCGGGGAACCTGATGAAGAAGAGGGAACTTTCCGCAGCTCCATCCGCCGTGAGTCTGGGGAGACTGCGGGTGTCTGGGGGTGAGGGCGGGTTCTTTGAATCCCCTTCCTGGCTTTCCCTGGGCACACAGAGGAAGGGGCTCGATCCGAAACCACGTGCCCCTGGTGACACCCGAACTCTGTCCCCTGCAGGTCTGTCCACCCGCAGGCGGTAGAGACACCTGGCGCCTGGATCTCTGCCAGGTCCTGCAGCTCAGACCGGGCAGGGAAGGGAAGACAGGGAGAGAAACCCGAAAAGGGGCGCAGTGCCAGGCGGGAGGCTTGGGGGAGGGCGAGGGCTTGAGGTCCACGTCGCCTCTCACCCTTCTCACCCCACAGGATTCCCCTGGCACCTGACGCCTTCCGCCCACCACCTGCGCGCACCCAGCCGCCGCGCCTGCCCCCCTCCCAGCCCTGTCCCACGGATTCCGCGTGCCGCCCAGACTTCCAATAAAACGTGCTTTTCTTTCCTGATGGCGCTTCCTTGATCTCTGAGTCCCTCTGCGCGAAAGCCTGGGAGCCCCCACGGCCCCGGCAGGGGGCGCCCCCACCCTTGGGAAAGGGGCGGGGAGGCTGGCAGTGGGCGGGGGCGGGGGCGGGGGTGGCCTGGATGAGGGCGGGCTCCCCGGGCCCCCATTGGCTACAGGCACCCCCAACACCAGGGCTCCCCCAATCCCCCCCCACATCAGTCTGTCCTGCTTCCAGCTGCTGCAGCCGCACCTTTGCTGCCTCAGCGTCCAGCAGTCCCCTGCTCCTGCTCAGCATGGCGACCCCAACCCAGACCCCTACAGTTGGTGAGCATGCCACCTGGGGAGCGGGGGCCAGGGCGAGTGGGGGTGGGGGTGGGGGTAAAGGTGGGCTCCAGGATCTAAGAGCTGAAGAAAGAGGGTATGGAGAGATTCTAGTCCTGAAAAGGGAGGGGGGGGTGTCTGTTCCTTTCCCAGCGAAGCCCTCTCTTGCACACCCCTAGAGGCCCCTCGAGGGCTCTGGGACACCCGCTCCCTGGCGGCTGTAGTCCCGGTGCGGGATCTACAATTAGAGTGTGACAGTCCCAGGAGAAAGGATGCTCGGACAGGTTGCTATGGAAACCGGGTGGCTGGTCCAGCGTAGTGGTGGCAGCAGTAGGGAAGAGATGGGCTTTGAGGGTGGGAGCGGATGGGTGTGCAGCCAGAGAGGTAAGATTTCAGGACCACGGGGTGGGCAAGGGGAGGGGGGCCCACATCCCACTTAGTCCCGCACTGATGCCTATGGTGGGGGCTTACTGAAATCCTGAACAGGCAGGCTCAGAGGGAAAGAGGGACAGCCAAAGAAGAGACAAAATGGGGGGTGGGGCTTGACTAAAAGAATCTGAAAGAGACCAAGACATTCAGGAGATGTAGTCAGCGACACAAAGACCCGGAAGGATAGATAGGAGGCTCCCGGAGTGTTAGAGTCAGTGACAGAAAGATGCCGAGAAAGAGAGAATCAGACACAGAGGGATAGAGGGACTGAGACAACTATGGAGAGAGGAGGAGAGGGAAAAAAGCTGAGAAAGGGGGCCGCATGGGGTGGGGCCCGAACCACTGCAGTGAACCTCCGTGGGTGGGAATGGCATGGTGGGACCTCTTGCCCAGCCCAGCGCCAGCGGTAGTTTCCAGTGCCAGCGGTAGTTTCCAGTGCCAGAGGTGCACTTGGGTGTGCACACCGATGTCCCTCCCACCCTCTTCCTGCAGCAGACCACTTACATTTGACACCCACTAACCCAGATACGCACGCACTTACACACTGACTCTCACTGTTGCACCCAGCTGTCCCTCTGGTGAGCTTCTTCTGCTGAGGAGCAGGGGACAGAATGCTTCCGTAGGGGAGGGGGCAGGACAGGGGTTTCCAGCACTGAGGGCAGGGCCAGGGGTGCTGAGGAGCCCCTGACAGTGCAGGGAACCCCGAGCCCACTCTGACTGCTCCTTCCCTTCCCCCTTTCCCAGCCCGCGGGGGCTGCTGCACTGAGCCGAATCTGCAGAACGAGAAGCAGGGCGGGGTGGGGGGGCTGCAGAGGCCGGAAAGCACCCTAGGGAGAGGGGGCAGGGCTGAGCCAGCAGGTCTGGCGGGAGCCCAGGGCTTCTTTTCGCAGAGGTGGCGGTTAGCAGGATCGATGGCAGCAGACGGGGCCAAGGCGGGAGGACAGACACCTCAGCGCCCCACTTCTCCCAGTCACAGCATGAGAGGGGACCGCAGGTCTTGGGAAATCCCAGGGGAGGAAAAGCATGTTGTGCATTGCAAGCTGCTCAGGGAAATGAAGTAATGAATTGCTGGGGAGAGAAAGGGAAGAAGAGGAGGCTCTTTTCACCTAGCAGGGAACAGGAGGGAAAATTAGGGGCAAATAGAAAGGGGATGCATGAATGCAGCTGGGCCTGGGTCCCTGTCCATGAGAGGGACCCTCATCTTGGCCAGAAGCCAGCCCTGCAGGGGCCCCACGAGGAGGTACAAAAGGAGGAGAGAGAGTCAATATGGGGCTCAACTCTCAAGGCTCACGCAGGACCCCGCCCAGCCTGCAGTGATGGGACCCATCACCTCACAAGATGCCCTGGTTGCCATAGCAGCCACCTCCTTCTTGATCTCTCCTTGGCAATTGGCCAGAAGTAGTGCACATTCCTTTTTCTGCCTCCTGATTCCATCCTTAGCCCAGCCACACCCTGAGGGTTCCTATTGCTGGGCCAATGAGGATGAGCAAAGACCTTCAGCAGGGAGCACCTGCACTTGGGAATGAGCCCAAGAGGATTCTGGGAGTGGCGCTCCCACAGTGGGTTTCTGAGAAATTTGGAGGAGGGTATGTGGAAAACTGGGAGGCAGAAGTGAGATAATCCAACCTTTCCACCTTTGGTGCAGCCTAGGAGGGCTTCACATTCATTCGTTCATTCATTTGTTCATTTGCTTACTGACTCATTCCAAGAAAATTCTTTGAGAGCCTTTTGTAAATGCCAGGATCAACGGCAGAGATGAGTCAAACAGATTTACTCAACACTAGTGGGAAAGCTAAGATAGTGCCCAGGTGACGTTAAGACACTGTGCTGGTGGTTGGATGCTTTTGAGTACCATCTTCAAAATTTTGTCCATATTCAAATGTTAAATGTTCCTTGCATTGCTACTCATTTAATGTTTGTTTTCTTCAAAGGATTAACTTTTTTTTTTCATCAGTACCGGAGATTTATTGAACTGTAGGCCTTTGCACTGAGCTACATTCCCAGTCCTTTATTTTGGGACAGGGTCTTTTTTAGTCACTAAGTTGCCCTGGCTGGGCTCAAACTCACAGTTGTCCTGTCTCATTCTTTCAGGATTAACTTTTTAAAATAATTAGCTTCATTTAATTTTTTTGTTGTTGTTGTTCTTTTTTCCAGTACTGGGAATCGAACTCATGACTTTGTGCTTGCCAGGCAGGCGCTGTGCCGCTGAGCTAAATCCCCAGCCCCAATTAGCTTCATTTTAGATTGCCACCACAGGTGCAAAATGAAGGTTCTGGGGGGCTTAACTGAAGGCAAGCATAAAAATGAATCTTAAACCAGTGACTCGGCTTTTCTGGGGACAGTGTCCCATTTTATGAAACGAGGAGGGCAGTACCTCTGTCAGAGTTGCTGCCAGGATTAAATCTGTTAACACTGTAAAGAGCTTAGAAGCAGCCTGAGACAGAGTCAGTGCTATCCATTGCTGGCTAAATAAATACATAAGAAAACCCAACACTGTCACAAAATTCTACATAGATTTTTGTTTCCTGTGGAAGACTCTGAGCACAAGGCTTGATTTCTAGTGGGTAAGCGGGAGACTTAAAGTGCTGGCAGTTATTAAAGACGCATCTGCACCAGCCTGAGGCTTGAAGACAAACTGACACATTGCGTGAATCAGTGCTACTCACGGTCTTGCCTCGGAGACCCCTGTATGAGTCTGTTCAGGCCGCAGCTCGCTTTGGTAACAAACAGAAGCAAAAGTCTCAGTGGGTTAGGAGAACTAAGGTTATTTCTCACTGATGCCCTGTGTCCATCAGAAGGCTTTCTACTCACCAAAGAAAACTAGAGCAGCCACCATCTTGAATGTCCAGGCCACCAGGCCAGAGACAAAAGAGAGCTCTTGCACAGACACTTGGATGCTCCAGCCTTTAAGTGACGATATTTCTATGTACAGTTCATTGGCCAGAATTAGATAGATGGCCCCATGCAACCTTAAGGGAGCTACCATCCTCTGAGGAGCCTGGAAGAGGAGAAAAGGATGCTATGCCATCACCCCATCACCCTGGCACCCTCCCCTAATTCCTCAAGCTCTGCAGAATTCTGCTGCAGACAAGGTAGAACCTAATGAGGACTGCAGAGGAAGTAGAGGACCATTGGGCGCACTTCTGGAATGGGTAGACGCTCTGAGCACTCCTGAATGGGCATGGGGTTTGTGGCAGGGACACACACTTTGTGTGTGTGTGTGTGTGTGTGTGTATGTGTGTGTGTGTGTGGTGTACTAGGGATGGAACCCAGGGCCTTGGCATTGAGCTATATCCCTAGCTCTTTTTATTTTTAAATTTTTGAAACTAGGTTTTGCTAAGTTGCCCAGGCTGAGCTTGAACTTGGGACCCTCCTTCTTCAGCTTTCCAGAGTGCTAGGATTACAGGTGTACACCACCACTTCCCACACACACCCACATTTTACCCCGGCACTCGCATTTCAGAGTGGATGAGCGTATGTCTTGTGTGTTTTGTGTGGTACATCCACATCCACATATACATCCCAAGAATACCACTGCAAATCCATGTTGAATCTTAACATCACTGATGTCTTAGGTATAAGTAATATAAGGTACGAATCACCGCAGCTCCTCTACAGTAGATTTGGTGGCGGGAGCAAGTGGAAGTGAGCAAGAGCAGATACCTGGGAAGTTTTAGGAAGTGTTCAGGGGCAGCCATAGACTCGGGTCCGCCAGTAGGGTGGGGGTCTGTCTGTTCCTGGCATCATATGTAAATGGGTTGTGTTTGCAGCCCACTGCTTGCATTCCACTTCTAAGGGGTCTAAGATGAGGACTGCCATGTATGATTGGGTACATGGTACACTTTACAGGGGATGGAGCTGACTGATGGAACAAATGAATGGGTGCTGGAATCTTTCCTGTGTTCCATTTGCCAAGCCTGAATCTTGTCACAAGTCAACATCATCCAGAGCAAAGGGCTTCTTTCCCCGGTTTCTACAAAGAAATCCTTGGGTCAATGGCCCCATCCAGATCCTTTAAAATGTTAAGACATTTATCTAGGTATGATGGTGCACACCTGTAATTCCAGCACTCTGGGAGGCTGAGGCAGGAGGATTGTAAGTTCAAGCCTAGCCTGGGCAACTTCGTGAGACCCTGTGTTGACATAAAAAGGGCTGGGGATGTAGCTCAGTGCTTAGGCTCTGGGTTCAATCCTCAGTACCCCTCCCCACATGTTAAGAAAGCTAGCACTGAAATACTTCTCCCCCCACTTCCTTCCCATAGCTCCTGAGGAATTTGACCCATTTTTCTATGGTGAGTATAGGATTTGTGATGGGGGCACTCTAGGGCTGGTTGGAGGGTGGCTGCGGGTCTGCACAGGCCACTGCTGAAGGCTCCAGCTGCAGCTATTGATAGGTGGGCCCCTGTCGTGTGACCACATGGGTACAGTCACATAAGACTGTGTGGGCAGAACCCAGCTGGGGAGGGAAGGGGTCTCATACTCTCCTGGAGCACCTTTGAGGCTCCAGGGACTTGAATGGGTGCTGAAAGCGTGTTCCAGTCAGCAGGACTCCGGGTGAGTGGACTGAAGTCACTAAAGAAGCAGGCAGGGAATATCGTAGAAGCAGTGACATTGAGCCTAGGTCCCCTGGATTCGAGTCCTGACTTACCCACTCCTTTCCTGTGTGGTGTTGGGTAAATGACTTGCCTCTCTGGGTCCTTCTGTAAACAAAGGATAGCAGTAGAGCCCAGCTCTGAGGACTGTGAGGAGGGTTACTTGAATGATGCCTGTATACCATCCTCATGGCATGGAACCTGTACCCAACTTTGGAGGATCTAGCCTGTTTCTTCTGCACAAGTCCCTATTCTCCATCTGTACGGTTCCTCCAATATGTCGGTTTCCTTCTCACCTCAGGGCCTTTGCACTCCCTACTCCTTCTGCCAGGAGTTCACCTCCCTAGCACTCTGTGCAGCTGGCGAGGGTTCCTTTTCCTTCTTCTGGCCTCAGATCAAATATTGACTGCTTGCTAGGCCAGGCCTTCCCTGACTCCCTGGCAAAAGGAGCCACACCACATCCAGCAATGACTTGGGTTTTTGAGGGGTTTGTTCCTTACTGCAGTTTGTTGGTGCCTGCTTAATCACAGTATGAAAGTCAACTGCCTGAGGCCAGAGGCCTGACTCACAGCAAGTATAAAGCGGGTGCTCCGCAAACTCGCATCTCAGCAAATGCTGAACACATGCTCTATGCCAGCCAGTGTCCCAGCCTCCGGGGGACACTGCAGTCAGCAGCATGGACAAAATTGCCTACCCTCCTTATCTAACACTCAGTGGGAGACAGATACTCAAGTAAAGAAAATCAAAATTACTTATGAGACAAGAATGTGAGAGAAGAATAATTCTCCGGAAGAAAAGTACAAGGAAATGGATTTAGAAAGTGTTGAGAAGAAGACGGAGAAAAGTCTAATCAGACAGAGAGGGGTGAATTGGCATCTGAGTGAATCCTAGAAGTCCCTCAGGGGGGAACCCTGTGGCTCTCTAGAGAAAAGCTTTCAGGTGGAGGGGATGGCAAGTACAAAGGTCCTGAGGCAGGACAGCACCTGATGCTCGCCAGAAATATCAGGGAGGCCATTGTGGCTGGAGTAGAGGACTAAGGGACAGAGAGGCTTGGACTGGGGTCTTGAAGACCTTGGTGAGGACCTTGGTTTTTGCCTGGAGTGCAGTGGGAGCTGGGGAGGGAAGGTTCAGAGCCGAGCAGGACCCTGTTGCTGTGGGAGGGTCCCCTGTTGTGCAGGGTGGTGACACCACAGAGCAGACGGCTGCAGTGGTACAGATGGATGACGATGGTGGACAAAATCAGGGCCAGGGAGGAAGTGGTTGCGTGTGCTTATATGAGGGAGAGGGTCGGGGGAGGGTAGTGAGCAGAGGCCAAAGGGAGCCAATGCTGCCCGACCCCAGCTCTGTCCTGTGAGCCCACTGGAGGAGCATCAGCATGGCCTACAGTGTCCCGGAGCCTGGAGCCTGGAGCCAGGCCTGAGGCCCCAGGTGGGTGAGGTCCACCCCTGCCCTGACCTCCCGACTGTCTTCCCTAGACTATGCCACGGTGCAGACAGTGGGCATGACTCTGGCCACCATCATGTTCCTGCTGGGGATCATCATCATCGTCAGTAAGTCTGACCCTCCTGGCCTGCCCCGGCATCCCTGAGTACCTCAGGTCCTCTGTGGCTTTCGTCCATACCCTGTGTCCTCTGTCCCTAGCTTCTCCTTCTCTCTCTCTCAACAGGCAAGAAGGTGAAGTGCAGAAAGGCGGACTCCAGGTCTGAGAGGTCTGGCCGCAGCGGGGAGAGGGGGGTGGCAGGGGCAGCCTGGGGCCTCGGGGTGCTTCCCTGGTAGCAGGGCCGGGAGGGCCCAGAACTGCCACATCCTTGATACTGTCTCTCTCTCTCTGCCTCCGCAGCCCCACCTGCAAGTCCTGTAAGTCGGAGCTTCCATCCTCAGGTGAGGGTAAGAATGCGCATATGTGGCCTGGGAGGTTGGGAGGTGGCAGCAGACAGGGGAATCCTTATGGGGACAGCCTTTGAGACGCCAAAGCCGGAGCTCGGGCCCCAACAGAGACAGGAGGGCAATTCCAGAGCTGGCTGAGCCATGCAGGGGGAAGATGTCAAGCCACTAGGGGGCACTGGGACAGGAAATGTCCTAGGAGTCCACAGTACAGAGATACCCAGACACAGATGCATAAACCTCAGAAAGCAAGAACAAACCCATTTCCCAAGGGAGAAAGGCACAAGCCCAGGCGGGAGGGACCGTGGGTGGGAGAGAAGGACAGCTGCTAGCCAGGATGGGGGAGCTGAGCTCAGGGGGCCACAGGAGGGTAGAATGCTTTCCAGATGTTATCATCCAGCTGGGCCAATCTAGGGTGGAGATGAAGAGAAAGGAAAGGAAAGGATGGAAAGAGGACGGGTTTCTGAATAATTATAACAAATACAAAAGGAGAACTGCGTGGAATACAGACTTAAAAATTCGTGTTGGGGATGGCAGCTGTGGGGTGCAGGTCGTGTGGGCTGGAGGAGAGAGGCTTGTGCGATAGAGGAGGGATTCAGATGAAGACCATGGAAATCCCAGGGGGTACGGAGGGGAAAAGGGGAGTTAGGAAGGGATGGAGAGGAGGGGTGGGGTGTTGGGGGGAAAGTCGGGTAGAGGGGCACAGTGGGTGCCGGTGGATGGAAAGGAGGGGCGAGGACCGGCATGCAGATGGGAGATCATGACTCCTTGGGGGTGTTAGTCTCCATTAGACAAAAATATCTTGACCTCTTTTTAGTGGAGTTGCACCCTTTCCAGGAGCCTTTACAAAAAAAAAAATCAAAAGACAAGGATCTTTTTGCCTCTTATACAAGGGTTATAACTAAAAAGGAGAAGGGCTTGGAGGAACTGGGTGTGGAACTTCGTATTTGGTTTCATGTTCGCTTAAGGAAATTTGAGGACGTTAACGGTGCACTTTGTGGGTGCTGGTGGGGTGCAGTGTGGATGCTGGTGTTTGGCTCTGACCCTTGGGGCTCAGTCTGAGAATCTGTGCAGAATCCTGACCACCCCCGCCCAGGTGAAGGAAGGTCTGCAGTGGGTGGAAAAGGGAATTCTGTTGGGTCAGAATGTGCAGGACGCAAGCTAGAGGAAAGGCATGAGGGCCTGGAGGGGACAGGGACAAGAAGCGGGTGGGGTGCTCCTCTTCTAGCAAGAGGACACCAGAGAACCCTGCGTTGGTCTTTGGGTCTGGGCCCCGCCACTCTGTGGGACAGACAGCGGCCACAGAGCTGTCCCCACAGCCAGCGGGTAGAGGGTGTGAGGAGGCAGGAGGGGTCCCCAGTGATGCCCGTGAGTGACAGCCCCCAGGCGTCTGGCTTCCCGGCCTGCGGATCCGGAGCCCACTGGCTCTGGGGAGGGGACTGCACGCCTCTCCGCCCGCTAACGCAGCCCCTCCTCTTTCCCCAGCCCCTGGCGGCGGTGGCGTGTAAACCCAGCCGCAGAGAACCTCCACTGCTGTCCCCGCCAGTTGCGGGAGCCTGAGGATCGGGTGAAGGCGGTGGGGACCCCAGCCTTGCGCCGGGGACGCTCCCCCGAACGAGCCGCTCCACCCACCCCAAGGCTGGAGCCACTGCACCCTGCTGTCCCTTCCTAGGCCTTGGCAATGACGATCCCCCAAAGAGCCTGTCTGCATCCCAGACCCAGGGGCTCAGGCCTCTAGCTCCTGGGATCTGGGAGCCCACCCCCAGCACCCCAGGAAGCCCGTGTGCTGCTCCCCCAACCCCTTTGTCTCTTTCCGGAGCATCCGTTCCCTGGCCCCTCGGTGTCCACGTCTTGAGCTTAATAAATGTGCATTTGGTTTTTTCCCCCTGTTCTGTCTGTGGGTTCTCATCTGTGGGCACACAGGGATAGGGGCTGCAGAACTAAACCGGGGTAGCTCTCCCCTGCGTGCCTAGCGTTGTCCCCCTCCTCTTCCTCCTTCCCCAGGGCCCCGCGTCGCCTCCTCCTCCTAGCTCCCACACCCCTCCCTCCACACCTCCGGGGCCGCCCCTTCTCCTCCTGCCCTCCCCACCTCCGCCCTCCCCCTAGCCGGGTGGGTGGAGGCCGTCCCAGTCCCCCACCGTCCTCAGCGTCTCCCCCTCCTGCTCCCACCCGGGGCTCCGGGGCTCCGAAGCCAGGAAACCCAAGAGGAAATGACTGGGCCCGTCTGGGTCCCCGCCCGCCGCGCTCTCCTGGCCACACCCTCGCCCGGACGCTGCTCCTGCTGCCCCGGCCCCTCGCGGCCGCAGCTCGGCTCGCGATCCCCCGGCTCTGATGTAAGTCGCCCCGCGCTCCTCCTCCTCCCCTTAGCCCCTCTCCCCAGCTCCGGCTCAGGTGGGCAAGGCACCGCCCTTCCGAGCCTCTCCACTTCGCGTGCATGCCCAAGTCCCTCTGCACGCTGGGCCACGTGGTTCCCGCCTCCTGCCTCAGTCTCCCTAGCTCTGCTCCATCCCAGGCAGACCGCCCCTCTCGGAGCTGCCCAGCCTTTGGCTCCGTGCTGTCTGCCGTGCTGCCCGAGGCAGCTCACTTTTTCCCCTGTGATCTGGAGTGGATTACTCACCCTTCCTCTTGCTGCTCCTCGAGGATCCGGTCCTGTGGCCCTAGGCGGTGGGGAGCCCTCTTCTGCTCTGCCCAGAGTACTCTGCCCTTCCCTGCCAGCCCTTGTGAGGGTCCGGGGCCGGCTGGGGAAGCAGCCTGTGCTCTTGGCACTGCTGGGTGCCCAGGTGGGCCTGCGGCTTCTTGTTTTCTTTGAGATCTACAGGAAGAGGAAGGGGTGGGGGCTTTGGATCTCCACCTCTGAGCCCCAAAGCCTGCTTGCGGTCAGCCCTGGCAGCAATGGGGTCCTAAAGCCAGAGGTGCCAGCTTTGTGGAGGGGAGCACTGGGGCTGCAGGACCTCCAGGGGCTGCCCCAGGCCACACCTCACCTACCCCAGCACTTACTCACCCCACAGATGTTGCCCTCCAGTCGCCTGTGTCTTCTCACCATCGTTGGCCTGATTGTGCCCATCAGAGGTAAGACCCTGCCCGGAAGCCCTGGGGACTGGTGAGTTTGGAGGCTTTCTCTTCCCCCCCAACCCTTCTACTGAGCCTGCACCAGGAAGTGGGAACCCCTAGCCAGGTTTGGGGTTACACCCTCTCTGGACAGCTCAGCCTTGGGTGATCACTTCCAGAGAGTCTGGCTGGCGCCTTTCCTGCTGAGCACCCTCCGTTTCACCTCCAAGAAGAACCCAGCCCGTTTGATTTGGCCAGGAGGCCGGTGTCAGTTTTCTATTCAGCAGCCAGGAAACCTGGGTTCCCAACGTAGTGGCTCCCTGGATCTCCGGGTGATATACTGTAAAGGGGGAGCGGTGTGGGGAGGTCGGGGGAGGGCTAGTCCAGAGAGTAGGAGCCTCTCAACCTTGCAGGCAAAGTGCTCCTCAAAGGGGTCACCGTGCTGGCATTTGCAGATGCTTTCTACAAGGCAGGTGCTGTGTCCCTTGACTTGTGTGGGCTTTACGCATGCTGTCATGCCCACTTTATGAGTGATGAAACTGCAGTTCAGGGCCGGAATTGTAGCCATTCTGCCTTTCCCATAACCCAGAGCACTTGCTCCACTGAAAATGCCCCTATTTTTCTTAAGTTTTTCTGTACTTTTTCAGTTATTCAAAAGGTATTTGTTGCTGGGGTGTAGTGGTGCACGCCTGTGACCCCAGCACTAGGGAGGATTGCCACTAGTTTGAGGCCAACATAATGAGTTCAAGGCCAGCTGCCCTGATTGACTCCAAGGCAGAAATGCCATGGTGGAAGGGCCTAGCAGAGGAATGCTCAACCCATGGCAGCAGGAAGCAAAGAGAGAAGGAAGGAACTGGGAACTAGAGTATATACTTCCAGGTCACGACCCCAGTGACCTACCTCCCACCAGGCCACACCTCCTAACTGCACATTCATCTAAGAACTCTCTGACCCTGTGGTGAAAATTAAAAAATAAAGGAAGACAGACAGACAGAAAGAAAGACGTTCACTGAGCATCTACTATACACCAGATCTAAGCACCGAGGGAGAAAAATAGTGGCTATTATAAGGCCGAAGATAGACAGTAGCCAACAAGTCAGCAAGTTGTGTAGTAGCCAGATGGTGACAGCACTGTGGGGAAAATAAAGGAGGGCAGTGAGGGTTGTTTCCACAGGCTGGTCTCAAGGACCACTTCCCAGAGAAAGGTGACCCTGGGTGCAGAGAGGTGAGCTGTGCAGGTATTGGGGGAAGGGATGAGTGCTGTCTGGCACTGGGGAGGCCAAGTGGCTGGATTGGGTGAGCAAGGAACAGCGGAAACAGAGAGGACAGAGAGTGATGGGGACCAGCAGGAGGGGACGATGAGCCAGGTGAGAGCGCAGCCTGGGCAGGCTCAGAGCCTGGAGGGCCTGCCCTGACTCAGGTGGGCACGGGCTCCCTTTGGCTGCAGGTGGGAGCACACTGTGGGGCAGGGCCGGAGCAGGAGACCAGGGAGGAGGCTGCTGGGACTTCTGGGTGAGACAGACAGAGGCAGTGCATGTGTCTAGCACTGACTATGTGTGACACAGTGTGGAGACCCTTTTCCTACTCTATCTCTGCAACTTTGTCAAGTAGATCTGGTTATAATCCCCATTTGCAGACGAGACAAGTGAGGCTCAGAGAGGGGACTTCACTTGCTCCAGGTCACACAGGAAGGAAGGGAGCAGCATTTAAAACCAGGGTCCTGGCTGACCCTAGCACTGGAGCTTACTAGACTGGCCCACAATGATGAGTGGAGGGAGAGGGCTGAAGGAAGGGTCCCACGGTGTTATGATGTAGAGCTAAAAGGTCCCCCAAAGCCTCATATGTTTGGAAGGTGATTGGGTCTTGGAATGCTATACTCGTCAGTGGAGTCATCCATTGGTGAGTTCATGGCTGACTGTGCCGCTAGGAGGTAAGTCTCTCAGGGCGTGGTGTGGAAGGGGGTACTCTGTCCCCAGCTCCGCCTCTCTCTTTGTTTCCTGGCTACCGTGGGTTGAGCACCTTTTCCTCTGCTAGGTTCTTCCACCATGGCATTTCTGCCTTGGGTCCAACCAACCAGGGATAAAACTGCAGCCAAAACGAACCTCACTCCTCTAAGTTGCAGGTCTGGGTCTTTGTCCCAGGCACGGGGAAGTAGCTAAGACGTGCATGGGGCACGAGCATAACTTAAAACACTCCCAGGATCACAGATTGATACAGTGAAAGCTAATGAGCTAAACAAGTGGGCAGGACCTCTGGAGTGGCCCCCAAGCCTTCCAAAAGTTGGTCAGAGGGGGAACAAAAGTGAGAAAAGGGGGGCAGAGGCTCCCTCCTGATCTTACCTTTGATTCTCCAGGACAGAGGTCGGAGAAGGCCACACCACTTTCTGCGGTGGACCCGACTACTGTGAACACTCATGTTCTAATAGAAGATCCAGGTAAGGAGAGGGGAACAGGTCTGCCAAGATGAATCTCAAACTCAGGCCAAACTGGGGAATCTATGAACTTGGACAACTAAAAAGTCCCAGGACAGCCCTTCAGGCATGGCTCCATGTAGGGGCTATCAGGAAAATAACCAGCTCTTGGTTCTATTTTCTCTATGTTGGTTTCAATTTCAGTCAGCTTCTCCTATTGTGGGTGAAAATGGTCCCCAGAGGCCTGCTCAGTATCCAAAAGCAAGAGAATTTTCATCTCTTCAATCGACCAAATGTCCCATAACTGAGTGTCACTGGCCAGCCTTGGGTGATGTGCCTACCTATGAGCTGATCATGGTGATGGCAGGCACAGACAACTGATTGGGTAGGCCTGGCTCCCATGACAACCTCCAGAACATGGGTACCAACCCTACTGAATCAGGAAGGATGCTCCTCAAAGGAGGTTCCAGGGCTCTTACTGGATGGGTGCAGGTTTGTGCTCAAAGGTATTTGAAAAACTGAGCTGAACACCTAGGCGGGACTTCTCCGAGTCTTAGTAAAGCTAACTGGCAATAAGGTACCCAAGAAGGAGCTGCTAGCATGGCTGATGTAGGAGTCCAGGTCTTGAGGTAGGGGAGGCATCAAATTGAGCTCTTAGCAAATAAGTAACTGGATGTCTTCAGTCATTTCATTGCATCAAAACTGAGATATGATGGGAACCCCCCAGTCTATCTGTGGCCTTTCTCTATTTTGTTTTCTTCCTAACTTCCTATTTCTGGATGCAGGTGCAGCCCACCTAGAAGGCCAGTCTATCCTTCCGACCCCCACCCGGCCTGCTGATGGTGAGTGGGCAGGGCAGGGGGCAGGGCAGCTCACCACTGCCCTTCCAGTGCCGCTCTGGATTTCTGGCTGGTCACTTTGGTCACAAGTCCCTTGCCACCGCCCCTGCTTTGTGCCCTCCAGTTTACTCTGTGTTGGAGCAGCCAGTCAGCTCTATTCACTTCTAAAACACAAAACAAAACACCCTTTGAAATTGTGAATTATAACACGCACATAGATAAGTACAAAACCCGAAAGTGTATAATTTAATGCTTAAATTGAACATCTGTACCACTGCTGGGAAGGTGAAAGAATAGAACTTTACAGACATCCCCAGAAACTCTGGTGCTCTTCCCATTCTGTCCTTCCATTCATCTGTCTCTTCATTTTTTTTTTTAAATTTTCAAATAATTTGAACTTTTTTGGAATATAATTCAAAGAGGGCCCCCCCAGTGTTTATTTTTTGTGGTACTGGGAATTGAACCTAGGGCCTTTCCCTGGAACTACATCCCCAGGCCTTATTTTAAATTTCTTGTTTTGAGACAGGGTCTCACTAAGTCAGTAGGCTGCCCAGGCTGGGCTCAAATTTACAATCCTTCTGCCTCAGCCTGGGATTACAGGCATGAGCCGCCACACTGAACTTCTCCCCAATTTTTTCAGATTAATGATTAGTGACCCAAGAACACAAAAGCACATTCTCCCGGGAAAGAATTAAAATGTAGGCAAGACCGAATCCCTCTGCGCAAAGCCCCCATCCCGTTTCTCCCCTCTGCCTTCTCGGGGAAGCCCACAGTGAGCAGTGAGTGGTCTGCACCCCACAATAGCACATGGTCTGCAGAAAACACATTCTCCGCCTGCCGTATTTCCGTGAACTCAAGGAGAGCAGGCGATTGTCCTGCAACTTGCTCTGTCCAATTTTTAATGCGATAGTAGTGTGGACCTCTTTGCATGTCACTGCAGAAGACTCCTTTGCTCCTTTTTGCCACCTGGTATTGCCCGGGGGCCAGGAAATGAGCACAGTGAGCAAAGTCACGCCCTGCTGATGGGCACAGAGGTGGCTTTCAGGTTTTCCTGCTGCACCCAGTGCCACACAGGCAGCCTTTTCCTTTCTCCTTGCTCACAACACCCACAGCACTTGTTACATGAGGGCCACAGGTGCAAGTGCGTTACCTGAGCTAGCACCTTCCATCCTCACCCAAACGTTATGAGAGCAGAGTGACCATTATCCTCATCTTACAGTCGAGGGGACAGAGACTCAGAACAGCCTCCCTGAGACCCCACCGCAAGTCGGGCACACAGCCGAGTTGGAGACCAAGACCCAGCAACCGACCGGAACAGACGCTTTTTTTCTGGTGACGGATCCAGGAACACAGACCAGCAGCAAGGAAGGTAGAGTCCAGGACTGAGCAGAGAAGGCTCGGTTTTTATTTTATTTAATTCCCTATCTAATATCTATTGCTCAAAGCACCTGCTGGGGGAATTGCAAGTAGAGTTTTAAAAATTGTTTTGGTTTGTGGTCAGAGGTGTTTGGGGAACTCTGGGTTAGACCTGTTTCTCTGTGGCAGATATAGAGAGCCCTTCCCAGTCCTCCTTGTAGTCCGAGAAGTTTATATTTGTAATATCATGGAAAAGTTATCGGAATCCTAGTGAGTTCATTCCAATCTACCACTTCCAGTGCAACTCATGGCGAGAATAAAGACACTAAGGCGTATTTGTAGTTGTGGGGAGCCAAGGGGTCCTAAGTCCAGCTAGGATGATGGCTAACTGGGACAAAGGCCTCGACCCAGGGCTGAACCTGGGTTTTATTAATTTGTGAAGAAGGGAATGGCTTGAGGATGAGTGACTGTGAGAATGGCGGGAAGTATGTGAGTGCTGTGAGCTGGGCTTGGTATGTAGTGTGAAATCACCTCTGCAATATGCAGAGAGGATATGCATAAGGAGTAATCTGCATAACACAATTTGAAGTAGTATCTAATGTTTTGGTGTCAGTGCCTCAGCTCTGATGTGTAATGTTTTATGCCCTGGGAAGTCATAGCCTCTTATCTTGAGGCTGATCCCAGCTGACAGTGTGGAGCATGGCCCTCCATCCCGCCCGGCTCACACATGTTTTTTTGGGAGCTACAGGGATGGCGTAACACTGACCTGTCACTTTGCTTCAAAGACTACACATCAGCACCTCAGCTGGACTGATTTCCATTGCTTAAAGCCAACTGAAGGGATAAGGAAAAGCCCTAGCCAGCTCTGTACATATCAATACGTGGAAATAGGGCCAGGTTTAGCCGAAATGGAGATAATTGCTTTTCTTTCAAGGAGAGTCATACAGATGGCCCTCCACAGGCAGGACTTTTCGGAGCCTTTTCTTTTCTTTCTTTCTTTCTTTTTTTTTGAGACAGGGCTTTACTACGCAGTTCAGGCTGGCCTTGAACTTACTTTGTAGCCCAGGATTTGGCAGGCTGAGGCAAGCGGATTGCTGTGAGTTCGAGGCCAACCTGGGCTACAAAGTGAGCTCCAGGTCAGCCTGAACTGCATAGTGAGACCCTGTCTCAAAAAGAGAGGAAAAAAAAAGAAAGAAAAAGAAAAAGAAAAGAAAAGAAGAAAGAAAGAAATGGGGGTGTTACTTAATAAAAAGGTCCTGAATACTGAGAAAGAGGAGAGAGGGAGAGAAGGAGAGAGAGAGAGAGAGAGAGAGAGAGAGAGAGAGAGAGATTTGGGGGAAGAGGGATACTCAGAACATTTTGCAGCAAGCATTTCTGGGCAGGGTGGCTGGGCCGGAGTCCTATGAGTTCCCATGTCTGACCATGCCTGGTGTTACCTTTGAGTCCTGGATTATGTGAGGGGTGGCCCAGGAGGTTCAAGGAGAGAGGCCAGCTGGGGGCTGGGACAGCGGTCTTGACTGGCTTGGGGAGGGTCTGACCACTGCTTACTGCCTCCCTGGGTGGAGGGGGCAGAGCGCCTGTCCCCTGCAGGCCACTTGCATAGATGTGGGGGAGGGGTCTCTCCCTGTTCCTGACTCACAGTATGTCCTTGTTTCTGCCTCCACAACTCCCACCTGCCCTTCCCCAACTTGTAGCCACACACTCTGCTCGTCTCAGTGAAGGTACCACGGCCCTCTACCACAGACGGACGCCAGACATCAGGAGGAATGACACCCACAGACAACCTGGTCAGTAACTCCCTTCCCAGAGTAGGAACAGCCATTTCCCAGGTTCCATGCATTCTCAGCATCTGGAATGTGCCCAGCCCATTTGAAGGACACATATGTTGAGAGAATAAATGATGTCCTGCTTGCAGAGGGAGAGTACATGAGAATGTCTAAGTAGGTGTAAATGCTGTCTTCAAGCCATAACAAAACCCAGAGGCTCAAGATGGTCACCATTTACTTAGCTTTCAATTCCTCCATGTGAAGTGTAGGCTGTGCTCAGCTGGATGGTTCTTCTACCCATGGTTGGGCTCACTAATGTGTCTGAGGTCAGCTGTGGGTCAGCAAGGCTGTGTTTCAGAGCACCTGATTCTTTCCCTTGAGACCTACTCTCCCATTACCTGCCTGCTCAACACCCAATGCATAAAGGGAATGCCACACCTACAGGTTTCAGGTAACAAAGGGAGTCCATTCACCTGTTCATGCAACAAAGACCCTCTGACAACCAGGGGTGGAGGCACACATCTATAATCCCAGCACTCTTAGAGGCTGAGGCAGGAGGATCACAGTTCAAGCCTAGGCTAGCAAACTTAGAGACTTAGTGAGACCCTGTCTCAAAATAAAAAAGGCAAATGTACTCCAATGGGAAGGTCCTGTGTTGGACCCCCAGTATTGTAAAAAACAAACAAACAAACAAACAAACAAACAAACAGACACTGAGTGCCTTGTGTGTGCCAGCCCCTGATTTAGGTGCCAGAGGGATAGCCATGACCAAAACGACAAAGTCTTTCACCTAAGAAACTAACATTCTAGTGGGGAGAAAGATCATAAATAATAATTGTAGTAATTATATACCAGGTGGTTTTAACATGTTTTGAAGAAAAATGAAGCAGGGTTAGGGTCAGAGAGCAACAAGGGAGTACTTCATATAGAGGAGCAGGGGAGGCCTCACTTTGAAGAAGTCAAGGAAGGAGCCATGTGGATGTCTAGAGAAAAGCCATTCTAGGCAAAGGGAGCAGCCAGTGCAAAGGCGCTGAGGTTAGAAGGTGTCCAATGTGCTTCACAGCACAGGGAGACCTGTGGGGGTTCAGTGTGGTGAGAGGTAGAATGAGGAAATGAGGTTAGAGAGGTGATAGGGACAAACTGTGTGGTACAATAAGGACCTTGTGTTTTGTTCTAAGGGTAGACAGGCTGAGACCCAGATGTCCCCACTTCCTGAATCTGCCATCCATTCCTTCGTTGCACAGACCTCTGCTGACTCTGACTTGTGCTTTGTCTTTCTTTCCAGGTCCAGAGAAGGACCCCTTCTCCTATGGTGAGTTAGCCATGGGAAGAGGTGGGGAGGGAAGGTCCAGGCACCTCTACCTTCCACTCATGTCTCTCTCCGCAGATGTGGACACTCTCCGGAAACGGGGGCTGCTGGTGGCAGCTGTGCTGTTCATCACAGGGATTGTCATCCTCACCAGTAAGAACCTGGGTGAGGGGTTGGGCACCAAGACTCAGAGGAGCCTTGGCCAGCACTGAGACCCAAGGTCAGGTTCTCAAAGGCTCCTGGGCGAGGCTGTTTTATTATTTACTTATTTATTCTTTTTGAGACAGGGTCTCACTATGCAGTTCAGGCTGACCTGGAGCTCACTTTGTAGCCCAGGCTGGCCTCGAACTCACAATGATCCTTCAGTCTCAGCCTCCTGAGTGCTGGGATTACAGGCGTGCACCACCACGCCCAGTTTATGAGGCTGTTTTAACCACTGGCACATCTGTAGCATGCTGGGCCCTCAGTTCAGCTCCCCTGCTGCAGTTTGGAGATGTAGGCTGGGTGCAGCCGGGTGGTTCTTCTGCTCGCAGCTGGATTTATGCGTGTGCCTGAGGTCAGCTGAAGGCCAGAAAGGATCCTTGTTTGTACAGGTCCCTCAATTCTTCATCTCATAGTCTAATTTCCCACTGGTATCACCTGAGATTGAACACTTAGTGCTCAAGGAGAGAGAGAGAGGGAGAAAGAGAGAGGGAGGAAAGGAGAGAGGGGCGGGGGAGCTTTTGCATGGCTGCTCCTCTGCTGAGAGCTCCCATCCTGTTCCTGCATCCACATGGCTCCTGCTCACCTCCTTCAGGCCTTTGTTCAAACATCACCTCCTCCTGGAGGCCCCCTATCTATGCCTGTGAGAGGATGTGCCCCACCCCTGGGCCTCCTTGACTCCTTCTTGGCTTTATTTTTTTTTTCATAGCGCTTGTAACCACCCATGCATTTGTCTTAATTTTCTTTGTTGGTCGCCCTACCAGAAAGTCAGCTGTACAAGGGCTGAGTCTTTTTTATTTTCTTGTTTCTCACTATGAATCCAGTACCCAGGTCAGTGCCTGGCATATAGTAGGTACACAATAAAAATGCGCTAACTGAATCCATGGTACATATAGCAGTCTGAATGTTCTGAGAGCTCATCTCTGTGCATCTGTGGAAACTTCGCACTGGCTGTTCTCACGTGTGTCTCTTGTTTGGTCTTGTGTAGAGTAACTGGGAGCTTCCTGAAGGACAGGGTTGATGGCCTGTCCTTCACCCAGCCCCACAGCAGGTACAGTCAACATCGTTTCAACTCATGGTTGATCCATTTTCCTCACCCACAGGCGACAAGTGTAGGCAGATGTCCCGATTGTGCCGGAAGCGTGGCAGGTAACCAGCGAACCTGGGGGCTACAACCTGATGGGTACCCTGAGGCTGAGCCCCCGCCAGCTTACCACACCAACCTCCTCCTTCCTCTCTAAGAGCCTACAGTGTGGTCAATACCGGAAGCCATGAGAGGGAAGACGCAGCTAGATGCAGTCATCCTTGAACTGACGGCCAAGTCCCGCCCTCCCCACCCTGCAAGCCTCTGAGGGCTGCTGACTCCCTGGCCCCGTTCAGAGCAGAAGTAAAGTGCTGTGAGATCCTTTTGCTCTGTGGCCTCTGATTGTTCACCACAGGGGAGAGGGAAGGGTGAGATCCCACCCTTGGGGAGTAAAGCAACGGGAGGAGGCAACACAAGCATCCCAGACAGCCAGGACGGGGAAGTGTCCTGGTGGGAGGAGGCAGGAGGACTGGGGAACAGCAGGAAGGAGGTGACCCCCGCCTGTGAGCGCAGGGCAGGACTTGAAGCCCCTCTCAGGGTCACTGGTCTGCGAACCTCTGTATCCACAGTCAGCTCACCACAAAAGGAAGTCCTGCCCACGTGACCCTCTCCTTGGCTCTGTGGGTCCCTCCCCTGCCTCAAGCAGCCTCACATGCATGAGTGTGGACAATTTACGAGCACCTCAAGCTCCATTCTCATCCAGCCCATAAAGGACTGTTGCTGGCAACCTCTGAGCTTTGGGTGTGTCCACCAGGAAAGTTGTGCTGGCCAGGGACTGGGCTCCAAGTGTTGTCCGGGGATCCAGGAGCGCAGCCTAAGAAGGCTTTGGTGGGCACTCCCCAAAGACCCATGGGCTCCCCAACCCACAATGAGGGCCTCAGCCAGGCCAGGCCAGGCCAGGCCAGGTCAGGGCCCTCTTGCACTTAGGGCTTAGGGCATCGCCTTGGCCGGGCTGTAGACTGGTTGTGCCACAGTTGATCCACAAGATCCCACCATGGGGGGTTGCATTGCGGCACTGCACAAGCTTGGACCACGGCCCCAAAAGGCGGTTGTGAAGTCAGTTTAGTGGGCCATGCACAGCATAAAGCACAAGAAAAGAAATAATAAAATAGAAAAGACAATGCCAGAAGCGATGTTGACTGTACCATCACAAATAATTAGGATTTTATATTTTTAAAAGGATGTATATTTTATTTATTCAGCATATTCTATATATCATTATACATAGGTAGACAGACAGACAGATAGGTAGATACACAGACAGTCAGCCCTTCATGCCCCAGGGTTCTAAATCTGCGTTCAGCCAACCTTGGATTGAAATCCTGGAGGAGAGGGTTTGCCTCCCTATTGAACATGAACAGATTTTTTTCTTGTCTTTTTCCCCAAACAACAGAGCGTAATAATTTCTCACACGGCAGTGACACTGAGTTGGGTGGGATAAGCCATCCAGACACGATCTAAAGGACACAGGAAGATGTGTGTAGGTCATAGGTAAGTCCTTGCTGTTTTCCATAAGGGACCGGAACACCCCGGAGTTTGGTCTCCTCAGAGTCCTGGAACCAGTCCCCCATGGACACCTAGGAAGACTGTATGGAGTTTGGGAAGGGGACTAACAACATTGTGCTGACTTCTCAGCACAGTGTGGTCTAGGATTCCAAGATCCTGCGAGACAGTCACCTCACCTCCACCTTGATGTCAGTCACATAGACATCACTGACCAACCCAAGGCTGATCTTGGTTTCCATCCCCTTCTTAGCCAAGCTGGTGCATCTGGCCCAAATCCCTCACCAAAGTCACATTGTTAGAAATTACCTGGTGTGACTGGAGGCCGCCCATACACAAGAATGTTCACCAGGCAGAAGCTTCCCAGGGGTTAGGGTGACTTCTAATTGCTAAGGGCAAAAGTCAGGGCTTGGTTCATTCTTCACTACAGAGACGTTCTCTCTCATATTGCTTGATGGATTAAGAGATATTTACCTGTAATCCCAGCACTCTGGGAGGCTGAGGCAGGAGGATTGGAAGTTCAAGCCCAGCCTGGGCAACTCAGTGACACAGACCTTGCTTCAAAATAAAAAGAATTGGGGATGTAGCTGTGTGAAGGTCCTGAATTCAATCTCTAGTGCCACACTCACACACACAGAAGTAAATTTAATATATGACCCATAAATTTGACACAGAAGTATTTATCCAAGAGAAATGGAACTGTATGCCCACACAAATTTGCACACAAATGTGTATAGTAATATTTGTAGTAGTAAAAAAAAGTTGGAATAACCCAAATGTCCAATGGAATAGATAAGTGGATATAAACTGGTTTTTCTGGTTTTTTTTTGTCCTTTTGAGATAGGCTCTTGCTATGCAGTTCTGGCTGTTCTTGAGCTCACTTTGTAGCCCAGGGTGGTTTTGAACTTGCAGCGACCCTCCTGCCTCAGCCTCCTGAGTGCTGGGATTACAGGCATGGGCCACCACACCCAGCTTAAACTGTTGAAGGAAGAAACACTGATACAACAACCTAGATGAATCTCAAAAGCATTAGTCTGAAGGAAAGAAGCCAGATACAAAAAGGCAGAGACTGTAAATTCATTTGTGTGAAGTTCTGGAATAAGCAAAAGTAACTGATGGAAGCTGGGCATTATGGGATACACATATAATTTTAGCTACTAGGAAGGCTGAAGCAGGAGGATCCCTTGAGCCCAGGAGTTCAGGGGCAACAGAGTGGGACCCCCATTTCAACAAATGACAGAAGGGAAAGAAGGAAAAAGAGATGGAGGGAGGGAGGAAGGAAAGAAAAACTAATTGATAATAATAAAAATCAGAATAGCCATCGCCTCCACCTCTGTTATGTCCAGAGCAGTGGGGTGGGATTGACTGCAAAGAGGCATAAGGGAAATTTCCTGCAAGGCTGAAGTGTTCTGTACCTTGATGATGATGCAGAATACGCATCCGTGTGTCCTGGTCAGAGGGATGGAGCTGTACGCTGAGGATCTGTATAAGAGCCACAGTGAAGTTGAAAGCCAGCAGGTAGTTCTGTCCTGAGCAGTGACTGTTTCTGGATGCCAGGACCCCGGGCAGAGGGTAGGACTCGTGTGTAATGGTATCTCCCGACTGGGCTGGAAGGGATACTCTGAGGTGGGCTGCTTTGATCATGCTCTGAGCATCCTTCCCAGAGCTGCCTTTCCGAAGAGCTCACTGGCCTCCGACTGCCTCTGGCCAGGCCATTTTTTGCTTAATCTCAAGATCGCAGAGGTTTCAAACAAAGGTTTGCTCTCACTCCCCCCACATATCCATCATGGGTCCACTGGGACCCTGAATACTATCAGAGACCACCAAGTGGAAGCCACTAGCAGAAATGTTTCTGGCTGTCACGGTGGGAGGAAAAAGAGAACAAGAGACACACGATGGCTTTTCTACCCTCTGCCAGGAAGTGACATGTGGCATTTCTGCTCACCTTTTCTCTGGCCATTTGAATTCTCCACGCCCGGAACTCCAATCTGCTTGTAGGGAAGGAACAGCAACACTGTGTTTTAGCCACCTTTCTGTTGCTGGGACAAAATACCTGACATATAAAACTTTAAGGGGGACGGGTTTGTTTCGGCTCATGGTGTGAGAGATCAGCCGACTCAGCTGCTTTGGGACCGTGGCAGGGCAGGAGCATCATGGTGGGGTGTGGTGGAGGACAGCCACTCACCTCCTGGCAGCTGAGAAGTGGAGACGAGCGAAAGAGCCTGCGGAAAAGTATAATTTGCAAAGATGTCCCCCATGACCTACTTCCTGCAACTACTGTATTCCCCCCAAAGTAAGACCTACTTTGAAAATAAGCCCTAGCAAGATTTTTTTTCAGGAAGCTCATGATATAAACCTTACCTCAAAAATAAGCCCCAGATAAGATCATCAGCCAGATGGATGAGTTTAGTCTGTCTGTTGGAACACACGATAGACTTATTGAATTATAAAATAATAGTATTAAATGTAATTAATTATAAATAGTATTATTGGCATTAATACATAAACCATAAGTACATCAATAATTATTTGTAAATACCCAAATGGGCACTTTTGGACCAGAGGTAAACACCTATGTAAACAGATGATTTTGAGACATTGCTGAATGACCAGAGTACAGACACAATGCACGAATAACGCGCATTTGATAATGAACAGATGTGGTTGTGTCGAATATGAATCTTCATAATTCAATATTTCATAGGTCATAACAGACATACTTAATGCACTTACATGAAATAAAGTGTTTTCTGAATTTTGGTACCAGCCATGTTTGGCTGCTTTTGTGAGGACAATCATTCTTAACTGTCATCATTTTTGTTGTCACTCCTGTCTCCTAAGTCTTCAATGGACCCTTGACTCAATGGATACTTTGCAAAGCCTCACCTGCAAGAGGTCATGGCTTGGGTGAAGAATTCATGGGACAAAAACCACTGACAGCTGTGCTGCCACTGCACTGCGACCACTGCACTGGGTTACATGGACAAGAAGTGCTCACTTCAGGACAGCTCTATCATGGGACATAGAGATTGGGGTTCTATGGGAAATGGAATTGCAAGAAATTCAGGCCAGAATTGGAGGTTTGGATGTTATGGTTTGGTATGGTTTGATTTGGTTATGATGATGTTCCAGAAGAAGATGCATGACTGTGTTTGAATAAATGTAGAATTTTGTACATGAAGAAGTGTAGATTTTTGTACAGGAATATAAGTACTATGTGCTAACCAATTGTGCCACTGGAGCTTCAATTTCGTACATGAATAAATGAATAAATGTAGACTGTTGTGCAGGAAAAAAAAGACATCCCCTGGAAATAAGCTCTATTGCATCTTTTGGAGCAAAAATTAATATATAATACCTGGTCTTGGGGGAAATATGGTAAGCCTATCACCTCCCAATGCCATCAAATTATCATCTTATCTGTGGATTAATCCACTGACAAAGTTAGAGGCTTCATTATCCATAACTTCACACAATTCCGTCAGAAACCAAGCCCTCAACACAGTGAGCCTTTGGGGGAAATATTTGGATCCCAGCCGTGACAGACAGCTTACTGCAAAGGATATCCTCTCACATAGCAAGAATTCTGTATTCAGCTGCAGGAGACACAAGTTAAGCCCGAAACAGCAGTGACTTGAAGAGGTAATTCATTGCTCTCTCACAACAGAACTTGAAGTGTGTGTTCCAAGGCTGGGGAGCGGGTTTCTCAATACCATACGATAAGGGATGTTGAGGTCCCTACTGACCTGCTGCTGTGCCACCCCCCTTAGTATGCAGCTTTAAGCCTCAGGATGCCAGAATGTCTGCAGAGCCTCAGCCATTC